GTCCTGAGTGGGTAGCATCCAGAATTTACTTGAAACAAAGTCATACAGGTTTTCAATATTTTCTGGTAGTCGTTTATTTCTAGCTTTATACATAAAATGAGATGTTTCAAATTCTACAAGATCTAGGAGTTTGAGGTGGAATGATCTATAAATAGTATGTATAAGTATAAATAAAACTCAGACCAGTACTTAACTCTACAAAAAATACATTTGTTGCATATAATTGTATGTAAATGTGCTCTATTCAGAACTTCTCAGCATAGATTTAGCTTCACCCTGTTCACATTCTGTAAAAAAAAGTTTTAGTCTAAATTATCCAATTATTTGATTAAACAAATAGTACACAGATTATTTAGTTTGGAAAATAGTTGCTAATTGCATCCCTCAGTAGCCGACCGCACATATTTCCATTTTGCTGTTTTCAGTCATGGTTCGAACTTAAAATTTTGTAAAGGGTCTTCTCTCAACTATTTCTTTTAAGAGTTTCAGATCAAAGAGCGCCCTATAAAAACAGCTCATGTATTTCTTCATAACAAAAATAATTTAAAAAAGACTTAATATATAGTAAGTTACTATTGAGCAACTGCACTTTCCTTCACATGTCGGTTTTCCCAGTTATAAGTAAAGTAAGACCTCACAGTTTTGTGATTTTTATTTGTAAATGATGTGATTTGCCCCTGTATATATAAAGTACTAATTATGTTAACTAAGTTTTTGTTGCACCTCTACAGCTTATACAGGGTATGTTTACTTTTTTCTGGACTTATCTATCTGATAAACTATGTATTTCAATACAAGTGTGTATTTATGTTCTCAATTTGTAAATAAATATTTGACCAGTGACAACTAAAAATCGTACTATGTTCTCCTGTAATGCAGGTGCAGTGATGGACCTGACGATGACCTCAACAGCAAAGGTCACCAGTCCCAGTCACTTTACCATCTCCTGCATCAACGGAGAACACAGCCCCACTGAGGTCAACCTGACAATCAAGAGAGATAAGAGGATTTTCTCATCAGGACATACAACTTTTAAAGTGCACAAAGAATCTCACAGGGTTGTTGTGGCAAAGGATTTTGACCATTTTGACAATATTGGAATCTTCTATTGTGAAACCACTCAGGAGAACCCACGACTTAGGCTAACAATGATAAACAACGTTATTAATGGTATTTTCAGTTTTAGGAATTCAGGATTTGATGTATGTGTTTATTCACCATGCTAAAAATAACTTGTCTTTAATGTATTTTTTTTTAGCTAATTTTATTCCAGAACACCTTACCGTGACTGTTAACAGGGGGGAGACAGCAAACATTAATATGATGATGCTGGAAACTGAAAGGAGGGATGTAACCTGGAAATATAATGGTAAGGAAGCACGCAAAAACTGCGGGAGGAAAATTAAAACCGCATGACAAAATTCTTCCAGAAAATTAAAACCGAGTCTTCAGTCTACAGTGCATCATATTTTTTTCTTAATGTTTTACAAAGGAAACTTTTACTCTACTACTCACTGGTCTGAAGTGAATGACCAAACTGCTACGCTTACCTTGGTGAATACAACTTTGGCCAATCAAGGCATCTACAGTGCCAGCTATGTTGGGGACACACCCCTTAAAGGAGCCTGGATGAGACTTATCATCAGAGGTTTGTTAAATCTTTGCATCTTCACACTAAATAACACCAGTTTCTTCAAATAGCATGATTGGGTGAAAACGTAAGGTTGCTCTTATGTATGTGTGATAAGACAATCAGTGGTCTGTATGAATGCTATTGACAGTGAGACTTAAAAAATAATTTTTACCCATGTACTTTTACACACTTTTCTTCACACAACCACCAGAAAGTCAAATTTAATGGCAACATCTTCTATTTATGTTGCCAATAGAAAGTAGTGTCCTCTGATGATGTTCATTCTTCATTTTTTTTTTTGCTCTTAGCTTATGTCTGTGTATTATATACTGTACAATAGTGGACTAAGTACTTGGCAGTAGCAACTTAGTAAAATAATTGATACACATAGTTAAATTTATTCATATATACAAGATATACAGGAATAAATTAATCAAAAATACAAATGATCTAAACATGAATATAATAGTAAATTATTACATAATAAAAATGTGAATATTTAACTTTTATGGAATATTTTAACTAATGCTATCACGAAATAACTCAAATAAATTAATATACTATATTTTATAAGCAACAATATAAATGTTCATAATGTGTTTGTAGTGGAGAGTGGCAGCCTAGTGGTTAGGACAATGTGCTTGGAATCCAGACATGCCCCACTCCTGCTGACTGCTGCTCTGGGTCTCTGAGCAAGACCCTTAACCTCACACTGCTCCCCGGGCACTGCACAATGGCAGCCCACTGCTCTCCAAGGGGGTGGGTTAAATGCAGAGCGTTAATTTCATTGCTCTGTACTTGAGACAGTGTAATGGCAATAACAAAATTCAAAAGCTGAAAAAAAAAAAAAAAAAAAAAAAAAACCTAGTGGGTGAGAAATTCAACAAGTATTTTGAAATTTGTTGGCCCAAAAGAGCAGAAAAAGATTCTTGATACTGGAACAACAGAGTGTGGCAATAAGGTATTCATAAAAAGCAGCGCAACTTATTGTTTCCTGCACCAGTTTAGAAGGAAATAATCAAAGCTTTCATTAAAAGATGTAGAAATAAAAAGTACACAGACTTAAATTACATTTATATGATAGTCAAAATAATTGTTGATGCTATTCTAAAAGCACTGATCCTTTTCTCTAACATAGCTTTCCAAAACCGTAAAATTCAGAAAAAATTAAAACAGTAAAATTTGTATGTTTAACAAAACTATAAATATACACAAATTCACAAACTGTCAGACTATTTCGGTACTTCTACATTTTTGCAAGATTTTGGAAAAAAAGTAATTAAAGCTACACTATCTATAAACACAAGCTACTTTCTGAAAATCATTAAAAATATCCAACACAGGTATTTGTTGTAATAGTAGGTCTGTTTGTTGATCAAAATAAACATTTGACACAATTGATCACATTATATTAATAAGGAAATTATCACTATGGTGTATTGGGGGCGGTTAGGGAGTGGATAAAGATAAATTTCAGCAGCAGGCAACAATATGTAAAAATGGCAGATAATCAGTCATCCCAAAAAAGTTTAAAAAAAAACAATCCACCACAAATGAGTATGACCCAGATGACTGAGAATCTTCACCAGTTTTGTAAGTCATCATGCTGGGACGCTGCTGTTGGTGTTTCTCAGGGGTCAGTATTGGGACCAATACTGTTTATCTCCACATAAATTACATATTTAAAGATATTCAGATTATTTTGTTGGCAGATTACACATATTTTCTATACAGTCCAGAGCTTATGGCAACTCCTGGATGATCCTGGATGATATCAAACCAGAGATGAATAAGATAAAAGAAAAATGGTTAAAAAAAACAAAACAAATTGTCCTTAAATCTAAGAAGAAAAAAAAACAAAAACAAGTTAATGCTAGTTGGAAATTCGAGAGGAAATATAAATGTTAAAATAGATGGAGTATAGATGAACCAAGAAAATTAAATAAAGTTCTTAGGGGTCACTAATGACAATGCTTCCCACTTTTATAAAGTCTCCTGCATGGTTTAAAACCACACAACAAATAAATAAACCTAGATATAAACAGCCAGCTTGCATCATACAAAAAATAAATTGTGCTCAGACAAATATGGTAAGAATATGCATCTCAGTGAATACAGTATAATTATGGAACAAATCCAGTATTGAATTAAAGCAATGTCTAAGCATGAGACTGTTTAGAAACAAGCTCAAACAGGTTTTCTTAAAAATATCTAAGATTGAAGAACGGTGTTGAACATCAGGTAGTTCTCTTAGTCTCTGTATGTGGGTGCATACATATTTTTCGCAATGAAGATGAATGAAGATGTGTGTACGTACCTTTGAAGGTGCAAATCTTTTATATTTACATACATTTAGTTGCTTCTCTGATTGATTTTTGGAGCAGTATGGACTCCTAAGTTACTTAAGAAATGGAAATATTTCTGTTGTTACGGAATATAGGAAGATGAAGGGGTATGATTACATACGTTTACCTTCTTCATACCCCTTTTTGGACAGAAGCACTAAATTACATATATATATAACAATTATATATCTCAATAAAATATTTACTTGATAAATTTGTATTTTTTTTTACAGTTCTTTTTTTTTTCTGGAATAAAGCTGTTTATTCATTCATTCAATAATTTATGTAATTAATACACCTAATCAGTTACTGATGCCATGTAGTAACACTAAGACATACACTACAGTTGACAAAGAAACAGCATCCAGGATTAGAATGAAAAAAATCAAAAACACAGACACATGTCTGTGTTTTTGATGAAACACAATGAAAAAAAATCAAAAACACAGACACATCTTTTGTTTTTTATCAATAAAATGTGAGTTCAATGAAAAGTTTTTTATCACCTGCCTAAAGTCAGTTATTTTCAAAAGTCTACATGTATTTCAATGTGATTACATTTTATCCATATCAAAAAGATATGAAGTCACAAAAAAAGTCTTATATGAAAGATTTTCTTAGTTTTTTTTTTTATCTTTACTGCAGAATGTCCAAGAAACAAGTGGGGTCCTCGCTGTAACAGAGACTGCCCAGACTGTCTTAATGGTGGAGTTTGTCATGATTTTTATGGGGACTGTGTCTGCCCTCCTGGTTTTATGGGGACACGCTGTGAAACAGGTCTGTACTATGCTTAGTTGTTTAGATAAAGAACATACAGTTAATGAAACTGGCTTTAATTTCTTCTAAACAGCTAAACAGCTGTTTTTTATAAATATCTTATAATCTGTAAAGTTTTTGATTGCTGTTTTTACTGTAATGCAACTGACAAATATGTTCAGAAGAATAAATAAGCAAAAAGCAGCTTTTTTTTCCAGCCACATATCTAGATTGATTACAGTCTTTGTGTTTTGTAAGATATTAAAGAGATGATGCAGCACAGATTTAGAAATAAATGCTCTTGTGAATTTACCTCCACTGATGGTGAGCAGCCTGCAGGGAAGGAATGTTTGGGAGAAACTGCCAAGAGTCCTGCAGAACTGACCCGAATAGAAGCTGCAAAGGGATTCGCTTTTGCCTCCCAGACCCTTACGGCTGTTCATGTGCCAGCGGCTGGTCTGGGAAGCACTGTGAAGAAGGTTGACTTAACTTCACTCCACTTCGAATTTTAGATCATAATTCATATATATGCATTTTAAGTGTTGTTTATGTGTTCTTTTTTTTAGCTTGTTTTAATGACACATATGGGCCAGACTGTCGGTTGAGCTGCAGATGCCAGAATGGAGGATTTTGCAACCGTTTTATTGGATGTCAGTGTCCAACAGGATGGAGAGGACAAAACTGTGAAAAGTCGGGTGGGGATCATAATTAATACATTAAACCTTTATGTAAAAAAAAAAAAAAACATATGTTGCGTTGTAATAATCTAAAACATATAAAAAATTAAGTTTTAGATATATTTTTTTAAATATTAAAAGAATATATATATTTAAGTTGAATCCATAAAAAACAGCTATTTTTAAGCTGCTAATTAATATTTTTGTGTTGCTAAACATTCGATTTTAACCTGCTGGTTTTCATTTTAGGTATAAATTCTTTATCCTAATATTATTTTTTTCTTTTTGCTGCTTCCTATCTGTTGTAGAAAGGGCTCCTCAGATTTTGGACTTGGATTGTAACCTAGAGTGTAATCTGAATTCCAGTCCCAAGGTCAAATGCTCAGCTACCGGAAACCCTTTACCCAGTCACAACAACTTTGAGCTGCGAAAGTTGGACAACACTGTTCTCAAGGTAGGTAGACCAGAAAGAAGCAAAGATAACATACTGAAGGCCTAGCAAATTTAAAGCTGGAAGAGATAAGGATGTATGAAATATAAAAATAAAAATATAAAATGTATGCTTTGTATGGGTACTGCCTATTCTATGATGTCCTCTCAAAGCCATTGCAGCATATTATCATGCTAAGTCTAAAAAATTAGGCTCCTCTGTAGGAAGGCTCAACAAACTCACTGGCTAAAACCATGGTACTGTCACTACATAAATCAGCTGTGAAAGGACCCACATCATCTCAACCTTGAGCGTAAATCGTTACACCGTGCCTCTAAGTGCACCATTGGAAAGAGTGGGTGCTTGTTTACTTGGTAGAAGCAGTGAGAACAAGTTAGGTGCTTTATGGGTGAGGCACGGTAACGCTCTCCTACTCAGGACCTTGTTTGTTTTTACGTGACTGGGGCCCTTTCAACTCAAAAATCTTGTTGAGACCTTCAATTAATTAGCCGTTTTTTTTTTTTTTTGTCTTTTTGTTGTTAGTTTGTTTTATAACACATCTTACCTTTAAACCAATATGGACCCCCAACAACTGATTGTGTCTTTGGTTTGGTTCCTGATTGTCAAAAAGCTGTCACATTCCTATGAAGTTTAAATAGTCCTGCTGCAAAATGTGTTTTGGAAAAAAATGTATTCATTTCACATTCCGTACAAACTACCACTGTGTGTTAGATATTGCATTTAAAAGTTTGAAAAATTTATGTGAAATAATCTTAATGGAAGGACTGGAAGTAAAAAGATGTTCAGAAAAAAGGCTTAAAAACCAACAGTGATAAACAGTAATGGATTGTCATCTAGCAATGCGTACACCACGCTTAAGACAATCCAGACAGTTTTCATGATTTGTTCCAAGATGGTGAAATGACCTACCAAGTGCTACAAGAATACCAGCATTCCTGTCTATCTTCAGGAAACTCCTAAAGACCCACCTCTTCAAAGAGCTCCTCCTGTCGTAACTCTTACCCATAGCTCTGTACCTCTCTACTACTCTTTCTGCACTTCCCTCTATCTCTTTGCTGTCACCACTGATTCTGACTGGGGAATTTCCTCTAGAGAACTTATCGTCATATTGAAGATAACTGTAACATTAGGTCAACTTTGTAAGTCGCTTTGGTTAAAAGCGTCTGCTAAATGCATAAACATAAACAATGCATGAACAAATACAGTAAAGACAGCGTCCAAACCTTAAAAATTGAAATAAGAAAATAATTTTTCTTTACATCTGAACTGATGTCTCCAATGCTGAGTAACATTTGAGGAAATAAACACAACAATGGTCCAACCAGATAAGGCTGTATCACTCTACATTGCAGTAGTCACCAGTCATTGCCTTGATTTGATACTGTATGTTCAGTTCCTTTGTTATTGTTACTGCTCTGTTTCCTTAATAACAGAAACAATCTGATGAAAAGTTGTGCCAGCATGTCTGACAGGAAAGAAACTTTTTTTTTTTCTTTGTGAGGAAATTCTTGAGGAAAAATGAAGCAGGAACAGAACTGGGCTGGGGAAATGAACATGTGGCTTTCATCCTGCTTTGTTCAACTATTTTCCATCTTTTACATGTAGGCCTCTCAGACAATCCAGGAGTCGAATAGGAGCACCGCCTTGTTTGAAATTCCAAGACTGAGCGCTCAACAAGGGGGATTGTGGGAGTGCAGGGTCTCCACCAATGGAGGCCAGGACTCCCGCAAATTCAATGTCACCATTAAAGGTCTGAGTGGGGGATGGTAATGTTTACAGTCGCTTTTGTTGTCCGATCTATGGGTTAATCGTCTCATGTTTTTTTAAGTGCCCCCAGTGCCAACTACAGCTCCAAAACTACTTCAAAAGAGGAGTAAGCAGTTACTGGTGATGCCAGCAGAGTCACACAAAGGTGATGGCCCCATAATATCAACCAAACTCCTATATAAGCCCGTGGAAAACGGAAACTTTTGGTCTTCAATAATAGGTAAGATGAGAAAAAAAAGAAAATAATCATTACCATTGCTTCTTTTGGAGATGGATTTTCTTCATTTTGGTTTTCTGTATGGCAAAAAAGAGGAAAACAAAGCACAGCAGTTGTAAAACACTGAATACAGAAGACTTTAAATTTTTGGTAAAGATAGAGAGAATGTTTAAAGCAACAAAATGTTGCTTTAAATGTCATAAAAGGAAATTAAATAGTTAGTAAGATTTTACACCATAAGTAGTAACAAACAAACACAAAAATTATTCACAAAACTGTTGCTGTGTGAGAAAACTAAAGAAAGCAGACACAGATGTCCAGGAAAAGACCCAATGTTTAGGTTATTTGCTGATTAAAATCTTAGGATTAATATCCAAATCATCCAAGAGTGGACAACACTTCTCTTTGAGGGTCCTCATCTGGGTATTTCAAATGTGTCCCTGCCTCTCCAAATTGAAACTATTTATAAGGGAGCTTCCACAGATTTAAGCGCCGGCTGAAAAGAAAGTCAATCATTCAGGTTTATCAGAACATCTTCAAGAGGCAAAACAACCCAAAGAACGAAGGCTGCACACCTCTGAAAATAAGTGTTGCAGCAAAAACTAACATGACTCTTCATTTTCTTGCAGTTTATAGTGACAAAGAGCCCATCACTCTGATGAACCTTGAGCCTTCAACTCAATATCGCGTACGTGTTCAGCTAAGTCGTCCTGGGGAGGGAGGAGAGGGAGCCCCGGGACCGGAGAGTGTCATGCAGACAGATTGTCCTGGTGAGACTATTTTATAACTGTACTGGATTAAAGAAAATGCCTTCACATGTCGAAAAAAAAAATGTTAACCTGTTTACCATGATTGTAACAGAATGGCTATTTTAGTACAGTACATGTATGCTTGAAAAAGAAAGAAGTGTCGGTTTTGTTCAACAGTTTTCCACTATACATTTCAATTAAACTATTTTGATCTGATATATCTGGATTTTAGGAAAAAAGTTATATTTTAAATAATATTCAATATCTTCGAATGACTAGTAAGGTAAATTTCCAAGGACAATGGTGTAGTAAAACCAAATAGGTTGATTCAGTAAAATATTAGCACCACTTTTAGATTAAGTTATACCAAAATTAACAAAATTATGTAATTTAAGACCTGAAAATAAAAGGTGGTACTTGCAATATGTAATTTATTTTTTTAATTATTAAATAATCAGCATATTTTGGCTAATAGTATAATAGGCTTTGTGCTTTACAAACAGGGATTTAACTGAATATTTTGCTTATACAATTGATTTATGAGTTAAATTGATACCAACTGAACAAATAGGCATTGTTAGATTTCACTTGAAATGGGTATTTAACTTGAAATATGTGTTATCATACATATGAGAGGACATAGGAGAGAACATCAATAAAACAAAAAAGTATTAAACCTAAACCCAGGAAACTACAGTCATTTTCAAGATAATTGGAAAATTAACAAATAAAGCTGTGTGAAAGCAAGGCATTTAAGAAGAAAGCAAAAAAAAAAAAAAACTAGAAGTTTGACCTTCCTCTCATAGAGCGTTGAAAATGAAGCAAAGATTTAGATTGGTGTCTTGAGGCCGGTCCAACTGTGCATGAAATTCAGGTGGGGGAGCTACACTGTCTAACTATGAAGCACTTGAGGGCCATATTAAGGGTTTGGGACAAATAGTAGTGGCTATCCTGGCCTGGTAACTCTAGAACCACAGAGTGACAAAAATAATACATACTTAGGGCCTCAGAGATCAGAGAGTTAGCTTTGGAGGACAAATTGTGGGCCATATGAATTTCAATTCAATTCAGCTTATTTATAGAGCCAGTTCACAAGAAATGCCATCTCAAGCAACTTCAAAGTGACACATGTGACTCTATCCAAAATGTTAAGCAGACAAGCATTGAGCTTTTTCTTCAATATCAAAGGTATAAATGAGAGGACATAGAATAAGTCATAGTAAAAGTTGAGCCCGTAGCTATGTCTTGGAAGGAAACAGCACTAACACTAAGAAAAGCAAAAAAGAAACAGGCCCAACTCTATGGTCTCTAATCAAAGGAGGTGATGGCGCAGTAGCATGGCTGGAGAGGGAAGTTGCCTTGTTTATGCTGACATATTCCTTTTGCTGCAGCCAGGTTTCTATAAGAAAGCATAAATCAATTTGTACAAACTTTTTGAAAAGAAACATCGTATGTTAAATAAACCATGTTTAATTGTTTGATTTAATTTCTAAATTTGAGTCATTTTAATTTTGATAAAATTACACTCAGAGAGGTGTGTTAAACTACGACTTTGATTCCGGGTCTGCATGAAACAGTACCAAAGTACACAAACAGTCGGAGCTTGGTTGTTGTTGAAATGCTTAAAGCTCAAAATAACCGTCATAGGCAGCAGCAAGATCATTTTTATTCCTCAAGAGCCTTAAGGCTGGTTTATGCTCAGAAACCAGGTCATCTGTGTGTGTGGTACAGTTAACGCATATACGCCCCCCCAACCCAAAAGTCAAAGCATGCAGCGCCACGGCCAGTCTTTTGGGAACACTTACAGGTGAACTCTGTGCCGTCCGGCTTTGAATGAGTGGTTGTAGAAGGCGAACAAGCTTGTCAAACTGACACATGAACACACACAATCCTAGCTAGTTCATAGTTAGCTCTTGCTTTATGGCATGGAATAACATAGCAGAGACCGCCCTTCAAAATTGGGCATATATCCAAAATATATGCATCATAAGCTAACTGCGACACACTGCTGTGGGTGTATACATAGCCCTATATAGACTCAAACTCGAACAAAAATTGAGAGTGGCCAAAACAATCAAGAAAGTCTGACTGGAGTAAATCACTGAACAAAAACACTAGTTAAACAAATGGATTAGGGAAACAGGAACAAGCCTAAACGCAAGTCAAATAAATTCTATAAACAACACAAAAAAATGTGAAATGATACACAGCATAATGATGCTTAGAGCCTTTCCTGAACTCCCAAAACAAGAAGACAATTGGCACAGAATAACAGGTTTTTAATAAAACATTCAATATGACTTTTCTATATGTGAATTGGTTTTATGAGGCCATGTAATGATGTTTATGTTTTAAATAGGAGTTAAATGACTGCAGCAGTGTCAAAATTTTTATTTTCAAGCTAAAAGCATTAAGCTTTGCTGTCCCAGTTTAAGGCAGCTTATTATGAAAATTAAGAAATACTGAAAAAATGAAACATAAATAATTGGTCCTTTCAACCCTTCCTTTCTGTTCTTATTTGCTGCAGAGCCCACAGTTCAGCCCGAGATTGAAAATAGGACAGTAGATGGCCATATTGCTAAAGTTTGGTGGCGACTGCCCACAAGCATTGACCACACTCTTGGCATGGCAACTGAATTCTTAGTGCAGCTCTTTGGACCCCCACCATACAATGAGAAGGTTTTGGAAAAGAAAACTCCACTCAATGTGTTCTCTACTGAGTTCCACAACCTGACGTACCATCGGGACTACAGTGTGGTGGTGCGCCTCATGAACTGTGGCAGCCATGGGCCAGCCTCCAAACCTTTCCTCTTCCGCATCAACAGCCAGGGTAAATGGAAACCTTTGGCTTCTTTTATCTTTCCATTTTTTGCAGGTTGAGGTAAAATAAATAAATTCAGCATGCTGATATTCTGAGATGCTCCAAAACATTGTTTTTGTGTTATGAATAACAAGGACAACACTAAAGGAAGCTAGATCCACCAAAAAATTTAAAACCCAAACTTAACATAAATATTAAAAAATGACATACTCGTTGTGTTTAATGCCTGCTTTGCAACAGTTGTTTTCTAAAGTCTTCTAATAATGTTCCATAACTACCAGTGTGTCTGTTTTGCAGGGCCTTCACCCCCCCGCAACGTGCAAGCCCAGTCTCTTTCCACATCAGCCATCCAGGTGAGATGGCAGCCCCCTGAGAACCCAAATGGGGGCATAATTAAATATGTTATAGAGTACCAACCAGTTGGTCAGGGAAGCCCCCATTACTGGCTGGACATCGATGACTTAAACAAGACCTCAAAAGATGTAATTGCACTCAACAGCAGCACCCTCTACCAGTTCAAAGTAAGAGCTTGCTCAAGTGTTCCAGGAGAATGGAGTGCAGTTGTTGAGGAGAGGACACAAGGGGATGGTGAGAATAAATTTAAATGTTTTAAAGTAATGTTTGTAGTGTATTAATGCACTAATGCATTAATGTGAGACAAATTCATGCTGTGTTTGAAAGTTATGTAAGAATTTTTATGGACGTTAACGTTACGTCAACGTTACGTAAACACTAAAGCCACCAAAATATGGCAAATTTAGGGGACTGAAAAGAGAGAATCCTAATGTCCTTGGTTATCCTTTTCAAGAAAGGCTACAAACACAATTATGAATTAAAAATTACCCTTTCAAGATATATCTCTTTCTTTCTTCTTATTTAGAAGCAGCGTATTGTGGAAAACCTTTATGTCATACTTGGCAAAAATGTACATTTGGAATAGGATTTACTAAAATAGTTAAGATGGCTATGCTAAAACCACATCTATCACTTATAAATAGAAATAATGCCTGCCTCTCCCATTTCCTTTTTTCTTTCTCTCCCTTCGATAAAAATAGACTTAAAAATGTTGGCGCCAACCACCCAAGGTGTTGCCGGGAAGCCATCAGGTGACGGTAACCAGCTCTTGGTGGCAGTGGTGGGCTCAGTCACTGTTACCTGTGTGACTATTCTCCTCGCCCTGTTGGCTCTTTTCTATATCAGGAGAACGCTGCTTAACCGTCGGCGCACATTTACCTATCAATCTGGATCGGTAAGGGTGCACCAGTTTGGACCTTGGGACTTATAGAATCAGAATCTTGCACAGTTATATTTATTTATATACTTTCAAACCTTTTATGACCAGGGTGAAGAAACTATTCTGCAATTTAACTCAGGAACCCTAACCCTCACAAGAAGGCCCAAACCCACACCTGAACCCCTCACCTATCCTATCCTCGAATGGGAGAACATAAAATTTGAAGATGTCATTGGAGAGGGGAACTTTGGCCAGGTTTGGACAATTTTTATTCAATTAATGTTGAATAATTCTCCTATGGTGGCCAATAATTTTAGCATGATATTAAAGCACAGTTTCATAACAGGTCATTAAAGCCATGATCAAAAAAGATGGCAACAAAATGAGTGCAGCTATCAAGATGCTAAAAGGTAAGTACTCTCCAAATTTTTAAATCAACTCAAATTTTCTTTATACTATTGTATCACTGAGGCAGATTGGTTTAGTATTCTTGATAAGGAGTCCACAAATCTTTCCAAAAATCAGGTTTTCATTTTGAGTCAAGCTGCTTTTAAAAACATTTCAGTTTTGTTTTCACTAATGATGACACAACAAAAACAACTATCTAAAGGAAATGTATAGAGATTGGAATGGATTAAAATAGTTTTGTTTTTTTTTGCTTAGTTTTAAATGAATTATAGAAATAACAGAGCAGCAACCAATGATTTAGTCTTTTTTTTCAATGGCTAAATCATTGATGGTTTATAATTAAGAAGTTAAACACATATTTATCCAAACATGTTTAGACAGGGTTTTGAATCATTGCAAAGATCCAGAGATAAGCTTGTAATATATTCAAAAGACAGTTTTTAGGGTATACATAGTTAAATAAGGGATGACTCAGTCTTGTTGACTGTGTTTTACGTAGCATGCACAAGCTCACTTTTACACATGGTGAGAGTGAATAAAATGTAGGTGAAATTTATCCTGGAATATCTGCTTTGCTTGCATATTTTGTAACAATGTGGGGCATGCTTTTCTGCCTGCAGAGTTTGCCTCAGAGAATGATCACAGAGACTTTGCTGGTGAGCTTGAAGTCTTGTGCAAACTGGGCCAGCATCCCAACATCATCAACCTGATAGGAGCCTGTGAGAACAGAGGTGAGTGAGCGACATCTACTGGTGTGTTTTGGTCTTAAACCGATTTGGAGCTGATCACCTGTGATGCTGTCATGACTGAGAAACCTTTTTTTGTCACATAGACTTGTTGGCTGGCCTCATAAATTTTGTATTTCATCTTGGATCAACATCTTTTATAAAACACAAATCAACAGTATCCAGTAAATCTAATGTGGTTTCTACAGTAAACACTACAACACGTCTTCATGTCTCTTAGGCTTTTATATGATTTTTTTCTTTTACATTTTGTCAGGTTAGGACAACATACCTAAGGATAAATTAGAGTACAAAGTTTTAAGTTATTTTGTGGATCCTATCAAAAATGGAATGCAAATTATTCAACCCTGTTCATTCTGAGGTGCCTAAATAAAATCAGTTATCCATTATGGTCTACATATACCTGCTTGTCATTTTATTTATGGTCTTGGACTTAAGGAGTAAGCCAGAGTAGCTGAACAGACATTCCATGAAAAAGACCCCAGGATGGGGTGCACACCCAAGACCTTAGTGCTGCAGAGCAATAGCGCCAGCAATTGTTCTATTGTGCAGCCCTTTAGGAAAAATCCAGAGCACCTAAACACCTTCATGACTTGCCAATATAATAGAATCTAATTGCGTGTAATATAAACACACAGAAGAAGTTTGAAAAGTCTTTGGCTATTATGCAGTTAAGCAAGCTTTAATCCTAGTATGTTCAAACTACAATGAAAAGAGTCCAGTTGCTGGAAAGGTACCCTGCCATGTAAGTAAGTATGTAGAGCATTTATGGAAGAAGCAGAAAGCCCATAGTATGGGTTCACATAACAAAGTGCCGTGTAAAGCAAATGTAACTTTACCCATCATTCTGCTCCCATCACCCCCTCACTGAAACTTAACACTGGCAGCATCATACCTTGAAAAAAAATGCATGGAGAGGCATTAATACACTGAGGGATTTTGTAATGTGATATAATGTGAATAGGTTTGAGGGAGGGCATTACATTTGTGAGGAAGTGGATTTTATGAAGTAAGAAAGTATAAGAGTATATACCACAATTTTCCATTTAAAAAATTATTTTAAAAATAAATGTATAAATATGTAGATGTTTTGAGGTAAATATGTAGATGTTTTGAGGTAAATATGTAGATGTTTTGAGGTAAATTGTAATTAATTTTTTCCTGAGTTTTTCTTTACTATTTGAAACTGGAAAACAGAGTGAATGAAAAGTAATACTTCTCAACCTTCAGAAGTTTAAATTGAACCTTCTTTGTTTGATTTGTCCATGCCCCTCACAGTCAAACATGTTTAGCATCTGTTTAACAGGGCTGAAGCGGTGCCAATTCCTACTTTGATGTATCAGTGTCTCTTAACTTCATTCTAGGTGGAATAACTGGATTAGTTTCATTTGATAAAAGATAGATAACATTTGAGAGAGGATATCTAGAAGTAAGTGCATTCAAGCGAGCAGTACTAACCCAATTTAGCCTTGCAGTTTAAACCTCTGACAAATTCAAGTGTCCATGCCACTAACTAATAAATGGCAGGAAAAACAAACAAAAAAAAGAGAGAAATAGAAAGATATATTGTGACATGGACACTTCCATTATTTTATTTTATTTTCTGTATTACAGAGATGATTGGTTAAAGTTATCTTTCAGAAGTAATTTGCTGCTGAAACTACTGAACAGTCTGTGTGAGATATTTACCCAACCTCTCTCTCAAACTGTTATTCCTTCCTTCCCCATACGGTCCTCACTAATTGTGTTGGCATGCTTGTCGATCCTGGTGAAATCAGCATGAAACCTCTCCAACAGCTACAAATGCCTAATAGCCTGTGGAAAAGGCTGAAAGCTGTCATCTGTTGACAAAGATTTAGCCATCTGGTTGAGTTCAGTGAGGATTTAATAAAAAGGTCCGGTCTACCTCCTGAGTCAAGTTTTAATTTTTCAAGGCCAAGTCCCTTACCATCTGTAGTAGGTTGGCTCTCTGTGCAAATGTGGAAAAGTCAGCCAAGGCCTCAGTCAGGAATTTAGGATAAACAAATAGGACAATGTAGTGAAATAGTAATACTGTGTTGAATACAGATCTTATATTTGTTCTATGGTTCAGTGCATCAGTACCACAACAGAACTGCCACCACCACCCCTGTAGCCAGAGATTAAATTTTTTCACTTTTATTTGCAGATGCATTGTGTAGGCAACTGCACATTCCAGTTTAACTTGAAAATGAATGAACTAAAAAACTCTACGATTAATTAGATGCAGTCGCTGAATTCTTTTCCCCTGCCTTTTCAACTATTATAAGATAATAAATCATTAAAATCCTGAACTGAACTTTTAACCAGAACTGTATGTCTCTTTTTCAGGCTACCTGTACATAGCCATAGAATACGCTCCCTACGGAAACCTCCTTGACTTTCTGAGAAAGAGTCGCGTGTTGGAGACCGATCCTGCTTTTGCAAAAGAGCACGGTACCGCATCCACCCTCACCTCTCAGCAACTTCTGCAGTTTGCTGTTGATGTGGCCACTGGCATGCATTACCTCAGTGATAAGCAGGTGAGATTGAGGAAAATTTGATAATATACTTACTTGTTATTGAAAGATACATCTTTAATTGAGCTCCGGCCTTTTTAATACCATATTCCAGTTTGAGTTGTCATTTAGAAATCTTTTGAATATTATACTACATATGGTTTCAGTCTAAGCAATATTCTGCATGAAATACTTCAATAATCTGTGCAAAAAGACTTTGTGTCTACTTGTATAAGCACCCATGATCTGATTGATCAAAACCAACTGCAGGAAGGAGCCAAACAAAAACCATATATTATGAAATATGATGGTCATCCCTACCACTTAACTAATGCTATTTAGGATTTCATTGCCTCAAAAAACAAGTATTGTTGTAAATTATGTCTACATTTTACAAAAGTTTATGTGGGGCTTCATCATGGTGCAGTTTGTAAAACTGTTGTCTTGCAACAACAAGTTCCTGGGCATCATCCCTGGCCTAAGATCTTTCTCCATTTTGTTTGCCTGTACAGGTGCACCGGCTTCCTATCACATTCCAAAAACATTACTGTTAGGTTAACTGATGTCTCTAAATTGCCCTTGGGTATGTGTGTGTGTGTGTGTGTGTGTGTGTGTGAGTACCTGCGTAGTCCACAGAGTGAGGACCATTTTTCCAATTTCACCATCAAATTGAGGACCAGTTGTTGCAAAGTGTGGACATTTTGCTGGTCCTCACAGGCTATTTTCCTAATGGTTAGGTTTAGGGTTAAGGTGTCAATTGGTTAGGTTTAGGGTGAGGTATGCATTGGTAATGGTTAGGTTTAGGGTTAGTTTTAGGGTTAGGGTATAGAAAGGGTTGAAAATTACTGAAAATCAATGAAAGGCAATGTGAGTCAACACATGGTCCTCACTACAACGGCAGAACGAGTATGTGTGTGTTTGTGTGTGCATAGTTGTATGTCTCTGGGCGGGCGTCCCGTCCAGGATGTACCCCACCATTTGGATGATGGATGGATGGATGGATGGATGGATGGATGGATGGATGGATGGATGGATGGATGGATGGATGGATGTTAAATTAAAAATATACCCTAATGCCATTGCTTTTCTCTGCTTTCCTGGTTCTAGTTCATACACAGGGATTTGGCAGCAAGAAATGTCCTTGTAGGTGACAATCTAGTGGCAAAGATAGCAGATTTTGGTTTGTCCAGAGGGGAGGAAGTTTATGTCAAAAAAACAATGGTGAGTTGGATTTACTTTTGTTTTTGGTGTTTTTGGTTAAATGCATTCACAAGACGAAACGGAACATGCCTTTTTGTAAAGGAATGACAAGCAATGTCTCGTATCGAACCTGTCCTGCATGTTTTGTAGATATTTCTAGTTCAACACACCAAAATCCAGTACATAGTTCAGGCACTGCATTTTAATTTAATCATTTAATTCTGGTGAGTTCCAGCAGGGACACATATAAATTATGCAGGACACTGACCCTTGATCACTGAAGTTGAACGACACGGGATTACACCAATAAATATCAATTACAATAGCTCAAATCATGGTCAGTTAACTCAGCACATGTATGAAATATATTCACAAATTTATTAAAAATATTATTAAAAACAAAAATCATTCAACTCAAGTCAAACATATTTGGCAATGAACGAAATAAAGTTTGTCACCATTAGCTTCTTGTTAGCTTTTTTTTTTTTTTTTACACAAAAGCAAACATGTCAAATGATTAATAATCATCAAATGATCAAATTCTTTAGCTACAAACGTATTCCCTTAATTTGCCAGAGCTGTTGCCTCGGTTATCTCTATTTTGGAAAGGTGAGGCGTCTCCATATTTTGGGAATGTTTATGTTTAGATGGCCTGACCAGGAGACCTATAGTGCTTTGAGGTCTCCTGGTTTTGAATCAAAGTCTGAATTACACTTCAGCAGAAAAAAACTACATCTTCCTCCACTAATGTTCAAAGTAAGTATCAGTATGGGCATTGGTCCTAGTGTCCAACATTAATGGCAGAACAGGCTGGTTGACTAGCTTTAAGGACAGGTACTGACCTTTAAATAAGCAAATTTAACAAAAATCCAGCCTATTTCTGGTAGAAATTCTATATTTGAGTCGTATTACAACATTACCTAACTGTAGAGCCAGAGTATCAAAAATCACTTCAAAGAAAAAAAATAACCCAATAGTAGGTGGAAGGGGGAGAGTAGCATAATATGGGCACAAAAAGATAGAATGACCTTTTTTTTTTTTTTTTTTTTTACTGTTATATCAACAAAATAAACCCAGGAAAAACAAAACATGTTTATGTATATTGTGAGGTGTGAAGTCTCAAGGCTTAGGGCATATACAGTATGAATGGCTGAGGACTCTTAAAGTAAACTTTTATGTTTGGCCAAGAACTTAAAACAAAATAACGAACATTTCTTAATTTACTATTATGTCCCTTTTCTTAAAGAGAGATCATCAAATAAAGAAATTAGTTCAGATGATAAATATTTTCTCTATAGAGGGCAGTGTTGTTAAACTATGTTACAGTGTCTATTACTAAATAGCTTGGTAAATTATTTTAATCACTTTTTTAACAAAGAAAATGTTTCAAAAGATTAAAAAGATTCTTTAGAGTTAATTTTTTATTTGCTCTGTAAAATGTAAATGTTGACAAAAGCATTTCCATTAATCTGCTGGTTTGATTATAGGGGAGACTGCCTGTACGCTGGATGGCCATTGAGTCCCTGAATTACAGCGTGTATACTAGCAAAAGTGATGTGTAAGTCTTTTATTTGAATAAAAAAAATCATAAAGAGAATTTCACTCCCAAGAGAAGCAGTTTTTTTATATACACCACAGTCTTTTGCCACAGAAAACAACAAATCATCCCCCTGTCAGTGTTAGACTGATAACAGTGCACAGCGTAACTGATAAGCGTAAACAAGGAAGCCAAGGAAACAGACTTAGATGTTTTTTCTCCATCAACGGGAGCCTATTTATACAACAGAGGGCAGCAGGTCTGCAGAACATAGATCATTATGTGGAAGAAGACAAAAACATGCCTGTGTGGACCAAAACAGTTTTCAGTATTAGGGAAAGGGGCTTAGGAAAAAATGAAAAAAGGAGCAAGATGGAGGCAAGTGCAGCAGAGGTACATATGAAGCTAAACTACGTACAGGCTGAGCACAAACAACACTTTGTCTGCTTGTGTGATCTACCACACCTGCTTGTGACATATAAAACCGGTGGTTATTTTCGTGAGAGAGTTTTCTTATCAGATTCAAGAAAAAATTGTGGTTTTATGTTGTTCAAGCTGAATGGCAAAAACAGACTAATTTTCAAGAGACAATTTCAACTACTTACCTGAAAGAATCTTTTTTTTTTTTTACATGTTAATTTATGCAGTTTTGGTTGGTGCATTTGTCTTAGTAAAACCTTGCATTAGTGTTAAATATGGCCATTTTCCATTTGTATAGTTTTCAATTCATAGATAAGCACCGCTGTGTTCTGTTTGCAAGGCACCAGATATGATCACTAAAGCACAGTTGTTTTGACAATGTAGATAGACAAAAAAACAAAACATTTTCTATTCTTTCTCACCCATCTAGACTTGATTACTTTACTAACCTGTCATATTTCATCTTCCACATAGGTGGTCTTTTGGAGTTCTCCTTTGGGAAATTGTAAGCCTGGGTAAGATGAAAACTGTATTACTTGGCTTAAAAAATTCTGCCAAACAATATCATAAGATGTTACGTTACTTTTTTCTTAAGCACAGACTGCAAACCTGCAGAATTGTCAGTGCCTGGCCCAAATGTTCAGGAAGAGTAACAACCTCCACTGCTAGCCGTTAAAGGAATAGTACACCCAAAACATGATTAGCCTTCATTTTCTACTCACCCCCATGCTGAACAACACTCTGGAGTACTTTTTTGATATCTCAAATGCATCTGGAGATCTGGGAGGCTTCTTGCTGTCTGCTGACATTCAAATAATGGAGGTCTATGGTGCCCGAGGCAGAAAGGTACATAAAAGTCCACAAAGAACGTGTCAATATTCCTCCATACTGCTCGTCCAATGTATTCCAAGTGTCCTGAGTGGGTAGCGTCCATAATTTACTCGAAACTAAGTCATTTAGAATGTTTTTAGAGCATAAACAGTAGTGTATAGGATTTCCTAAAATCGCATTCAGGACACTTGGAATACATTGGACGAGCAGTAGGGAGGAATATTGACACGTTTTTTGTGGACTTTTATGGACCTTTCTGCCTCGGGCGCTGGGCACCTCCATTATTTGAATGTCAGCAGACAGCAAGAAGCCTCCCAGATCTCCAGATGGCATGGTGGTGAGTAGAAAATGAAGGCTAATCATGTTTTGGGTGTACTATTCCTTTAAGCAGATACCAATGAATAGATTGTAGAAATACTTTAAAAGTTGCTAGTCGTGTGATTGTCTAAGGATGTGCATTACATATCTGCTTCTAATCTGTGTCTGAATCAGGTGGTACACCATACTGTGGAATGACATGCGCTGAATTATATGAAAAACTCCCCCAGGGCTACAGAATGGAGAAACCCAAAAACTGTGATGATGAGGTGTAAGTGTTCTGCTGTAAATAGCAGCTAGCATATTTCTTGGTTTTTATGTTTTACTAAAATGATTGGGTATTAATGTGTTTATTCAAGCACAGTTTAGATAATACCATCAATGTTTTTTTTTATGTTAAGCTATGAACTTATGAGGCAGTGCTGGCGGGATCGGCCCTATGAGAGACCCCCCTTCTCACAAATCTCTGTTCAACTCAGCAGGATGCAGGAGGCCAGGAAGGTAATCATTGGTTCACATAAAGTTCCCTTAAATGGTATACATAATGCCAAAATACTTGTCTTGTTGACACATGGTAGTGGCAGCACCATGGTCTGGGGATGCTACCACCATGCAATGAGAGGGCAGATTTTGAGAGTTGAGGGGAAGATGGTGGACCTTCATAGAGGAAAATTCTAAATAAGAAAATGTTGTAAGATGGAAAAGATTTTAAAATGAAGCTCAGGAAATAAAAGTGTTGTTGTTTTAATTTATACATTTTCAGAAACCTACAATTTCTTTTCATTCCACTTCCCATACATGCACTACAGCAGTGATCTTCAAACCCAGTCCTCAGGACACTTTGTCCTGCATGTTGTAGATGTGTCTTTGCTCCAGCACACCTGTATCAAATGATTGCATTCCCTCATTAGCAGCCACCTAGAGCTGCAAAGGCCTTTTAATCCCCCATTTATTTAACTTGGGTATCTTCAGGCAGGGATATACCTAAAATATGCAGGACTGTGGTTCCTTAGGACAGAGTTGAAAACATTGGTTACATTTTATTGTGATTTCACAATGACAAAGATTTTTATATTACTCTTGAGTCATTGCTAGGATGATATCAATGTGTCATTGATACAATACATGCTAGATACATACTCAGGATTTTATGGGTTCAATTCAACAAAACTCAAAGAAGTTCAAGGGGTATAAGAACTTTTTCAAGGCACCATATTTTTGCCAGAAGTGGAGAATTGTTTCCCTAGAGTCATCTAAATTCAGTCGAAATGTTTTTCCTTTTTTGTCTTGTTGTTTTACCACATTATCACATTCCTGATATTATAAGCATCACCTGTCTTCCAGGCCTACGTTAACATGGCTCTCTTTGAGAACTTCACTTATGCTGGAATAGATGCCACTGCAGAGGAAGCCTGACTACCAGCCCCCCCAGACCCTCCCATTCGCCGTAGCTCCAAGAGAAAGCCGAGTGGCAGGCTGCCACGTTACTGCCACCTTCCCGCCAGTCAGCAACATCACAGGAAGACAGGACGCTTTGCTGCAACCTCCCAGCTATAGATGTAGGACTGTGACAGGACACTTTATTGAGGCATCAACAGCATGAGGAGATGCGGAGTATGTCTTGACCTTCAGTGAAGAGACGCACCGGCTACAAATTGTCTGAAGGAAATAACCTTCTCTTCAAAAACATGCAAATGTTCACAGTTAAAATCACCCTAGCTGATTGTATAGATTTTGTTTTCTTCTCTGATTACATTGCAAACATGGAGCTATGTGATTTGCCGAAACACCTAAGGGTCTGTGGGGTGTCTTTACTGGATTTCTTTTTTTTTCTTAACTCATGTGGATGAGGAGATCTCTTAAACCCTTTGAACCTGAGAGGTACCTTTTAATGTACCTCATCATTGTTACTCAATAAAAACAGTGTTGAGCATAGGGTTCAAAGTTAAGAAGGGACATTAGAGGATGGCTTAGATTGCAAACAGAACTTCTCAGCTTTTTTGAGTGTGAATTATGAATGTAGCACTTGCAGTAGCATGGTATGTTATACTGTAATTATCTATCTACTGCATATCACTGCCATGTGGAAATAAGTACCATTATTTGTATTTTTATATATTTGTAAGACTTTTTAAAAAGTATTAAAGCAATGTATTCAGTTTAGTAAAAATAGTAGAAATATTCATTTTCAGCCACCGAGAAAGCTGTTTCAAAATCTTCATACGGTGAAGCATCCTCCACGCTGACTTGCATTCCTGGTAACTATGTATAAAACATTTTGAATTATACTTAATTGCAGCTGCAAGCTATTACTCTGAAATTAACGGGGGGGGGGGGGGGGGGGGGGGGGGGGGGTTGGTGTCCCATTTTAGGATGTACATTTAATTGTTTTGGTTTGTTCTGGTTTCTTTTTTACAGAATTGTTATCATACTTATTGGCAATCTCAACAGTTCCCTGTGAAATAAATGCCTGCCAACACACACAATGTTGTCTAATGGATAAAGGAAAGTACACAAAATCACCTATAAAAAACAATCAAAGAGGAACTAAGGTAAACAGAAGTCACTATGAGCTGTCAACCACTAGATTCTATCTACAAGTCAATCAGGAGCTTGCAAGATTTTATGGAAGATTGTTGTTGACAAGGTTTGTATCTTTTTCTCTTTTTAAAAGTAGGCAGAATACAAGGGGATGGTATAGTGCTGAATAAAACTGATTTGCAGTTTTCATTTAGTAAAGTCAGTTACACAATTAGGGTTACATTTTAAGATATTCTTTTAGTAGAGCAAAACTACCCTGGCATCGGTAGGAAACCAACTCCTTAAAATAGTATGCCTGAGATGCAGAGACAGGACACTTAAAAAAAGAGGAAGACTAAACTGCCCAGCTGCACTAGGCTGATCTGTCACTTGGTTTCCTCCACACACCAACCGTATGCATGGAGCTGTCTGTCAAATATGGTTTCTGTGGGCAAGCTTCCTAAGGGTTTTCTAACAAGTGAACAAAACAGCATTGGTTCTTGGATTATTGTTATCCCTTGTCATTCAGGAATCTATGTTTTAAAACTTGTAGTAGTTTAGTTGAACTATTGACCCTGATGATGTTATCTCTATGAATATTTTATACCAACTGTTTAGCATGTAGTCTGAGCCTAAAAAATATTTTCTTCAATAGATTTAGACCACAAGTTGCATGTTCAAAGTAGAAGAATTTTTGAAAATAACCTAAGCGGTTTGAATAAGTGCTGAAAACAAATACTTCAGAAAACCCCACAGAACTAGCCACAAGGTTGCATTAACACGGTCTCATAGAGCAAGTGGAATAACAATTGGTGAAGAGGGGGTTCCATGTTGCATCATTCAATCACGATGACAGAATCAAAATGGTTATATGTAAACATTTAAAGCTTTATAGCATCAATAATTCAGATTGGATAAGAACATAAGAAAAGCTGCAGAAATCCCAGACTCAAAGGAATTCAGTAGGCAGAAAAATAGGTCTTTAACACCAAAAATTCTGGCTTTTGTGGATGAGTGGGTGGACAAAAACCACATAAAAAAATCATTAGCTCCCTGTTTAAAAGTTTGCCTGAAGCCATTTCCCTCATCAAACACATGGAAAAGAGGGCTCTGGTAAAACCAACACCTAATTTGTCACCCGTTTGCCAATGTGTGATGAAAATCATCACGGCACATTGCCATGAACAGACCACCCACATGTTAAGACATGGAGGTTTTAGGTTTCATATGTCACAGTATTACAATACTTGAATGAGTTCCAATAAAATACAATTATGTTTGTGATGTATGAAATGTTAAAGAGGCCTTTACTTTTACAGAATATAATAACCAATTGAAAGCATTCTTATAGATAAGAAGTAAAAAGTAGCTCAGGAACTGAAACAGACACCAGCATAATTGGTAGAAAATTATTCTAAAGGGGTTATTGGTGACACTGATAATTTTAGCAGAGCCATCTCATTCGTAAATGCATTTAATAAAAATATCCTCTAGTTCTATCATATTGTAAAACAGTACGTCTACGTTGGATAACCAACCACTGAAAGGTAAAGTGGAGGGTGCTCTTTTTCCAAGTGGATCATCAAAATTAATGGTCCTCCTAATTGTCAATCATTCTGGTGATATGTTCACGTAAGGCTGTTGTACATGCACGTCCCCATTTTCACTTACCAGTGGTGAGTCTGACATAGTGGAAAAATTGCAAATCTTCTTTTAGAAAGTAAGCTTGTATGAGCAATAAAAACAGCAGCTTTTAAACAGAGCGTGCATGAGGAGAAATGGCTTTGTGCACGCTCTCGCACAGGTTTAACAGTCATTCCCTCTCTGTTGTGCATGTGCATTTTTCTTTTTTTAGTTTTAAGTGGACTTTAAGTGGTCTTTTCAAAAATTCGCAAAAATCCTCCACTATACCTTTAAGAGATAGTTGCCTAACTTATGAAAAGATAACAATGAGAAATGTGTTGTTTTCAGAAAACAGATCATGGATGATTTAATCAGTTTACCATAAACAGTCATCTCATGAAAGCATTTTTTCTTAACCAACAATTTTGGTTTTCTTTTTAGAGATAATTCTAAACAGTAACAAGTGATCCTCCTAAGTTACATTCTGTAAACAACAATTTAAGTTGAGATAAATATGCAAATGACCCACAGCTCAACATTGCAACCAGGTGGCTATGAACCCATTAAAGTTGTGGGAAAATGCATAGAAGAAAAAACTACATGTATATGGCAATTTTTTTTTCCTTTTTTTTTTTTAACTGACTCAAATCTAAAGTAAAGGAATTATTTTTGCACCTAAGAAAGAATTCAATTAAAGTCAATTTATTTTATTTATTTAGTACCAATTCACAATACATGCCATCTGAACTCCCTTTATACGGGCAATATAGTCAGTTTGGTTGTATTTCTGTCAAGGAACACCTGTATAGAAGAAGAAACTACTACCAGGGAATCCATTACCACAGGTGTGACAAAAAAGAAAGAAAACAGAACACTCCTTTAGCCCATTTTAATATGGCCTTTCTGTGATGACTGAACTGGGCAGTCTATAGCCCTATTGCTGTTCCAACTCTGCAGTCCAGCTTAGCTTAGTAGGGAAAGACTATTATCCAGGTTGCAGTCAATTCCGACAGGCGTTGGGTGCAGGTCTGCAATATATTAGGTCTGCTGTGAGGTACAGATAAACATGAAAGTGGAAAGCCGGGGAAGACAAGCAAGAAGCCAATCAGAACTTAAACCTCAATTAGAAGTCTGCCTGCCACTCTGTACTGCCACAACAGTAGCAAAGTTGCCCAATCACCTAATGGAGTTTTCCTGTCCACTGGCGCTAAATGCGTGCTCAGCGTGAGGGATTGCTGAAGATTCAAGAAGTTGATGTAATCGGATGCTTTTCCTTGAATAGAAAAATTTGAACCAAAGTCACTTTATGAACTGGTTGTATTGTATCTTTAAAGTGCCTTGGAGCACATCACCCTAGTTCTGAAGTCTTTACCCTGGCTTCCCCTTGCATTGGTGATAAAGGAATACTTCAGTTAATCTTTGAATCACATAATGGCTTAGTACTGAATTACATTACAGACTTGTTTTCAGTCTAACAACTGCCCAGACCTCTCAGGTCTTCTGGCTCAAGTTTACCCTTCATCCCCAAAACCCAGCAATGTGAAGAGGTTTTAGTTCTTTTATTCCACTAATCTGGAAAAAAATGCTGAAACCTGAGTTACTTTAAATCCGAATTAAAAACTTAGTATTTTGTTAGAGTGGCCTGTGACTCTGCTATCTAAACATTATTAGTTTAAATTTGTAGTCAAAATTCTTTAGATTTTCTCCATATGATAATTTTATTTATTTTTTTTTTTTTTTTATGAATCCAACCTATGCCACTACAATTAACTTTTCTCTCTCTTCTTTCACTTTGAAATGCCTTGTTACCAAAATGCGCTAAATAAATTAACTTTCCTGACTTTACCTTTAAAGAGGATCCGCTAGAAAAAACTCAGACTTCTGAAGGAAAAAAGTCGGATTTCTGACTTTTTTTCCTCAGAATTCTTAATCTTAGTATTTTGACCTTTATGCAATAAGGATTTGGAAGCAGTTGGGAGCAATCTGCTTTAATGGCAGAGATTCCAGCTGTACAGGATGACAACTTACTTTGTCGACTCCCATATTTGTTTAAGCGTCATTTTGCATCGCCAAGGTGTCAACCAAAAAATCACAGAAAGGTTATCTCAGTGAACTACCATTACTTAACTAGCTCTTTTGTTTAACTTATCTTCTGCTCGCCCTTTAATGGAATAGCAATTTTGAGAAAAATGTCACGATTGTATAACTAAAATGAGAATTCTAAGAAAAAGTCATAATTCTGATATCAAAGTCACAATTCTGAGAATAAATTCTGAATTATGGGATTACGTTCATAGTTCTGAGAAAAAGGGTAGAATTCACGGATTACAGTCAGAATTCTGAGATTAAAATCAGATTCACAAGATTAAAGTCTGAGAAAGACCGTCAGACTATTTTTCAGCCCTAACCCTCTTCAATAGAAAATATTATTATTAGATTTATTTTTTAAACATATTATTTTATATTCCCACTGACTTAATGTAATTCCATACAGCTTGAAACAAAGCCATGGGATATATTTCAGAACATCATTTTTCTGATAATCAAGTTATGCTGAAGTGGGCAGAAGTAAAATTTTGAGAATGGAATAGTACCATCCTGCCTAGATTTGGTCAGGTATATCAATAAAATGATACAAGCTGAAGCATCTGACTTCTCATTATTTACTTCAACTTTTCCATCTACTGTATGTTACCATCTCTCATGGATAAAGACAATCATATTCTGTCTCACCAGTAATCTGAAAGATAAACTAGTGAGGAACCAAAACATTAGGTTGATGGAGAGCAGCCCTTCCCACATACAAAAACCTATCCATTAGAAAAGCATGCTAATGGAGGTTAAAGGGGATGTTAACCTCCCCTTTCAACAAAAGTGCAAGTTAAAAACTAATTTTTTTTTTCTAACTGGTACAAATTACTGTATGTATTACTTTAGCTTTTGAGAATTGTTTATCTCATTTCCTTAGGAAAAAAAAAAATTCTTGCCTGAATTAAAAATAACTTTTTAAATCTGCTATGAATAAGTGGGGCATATCTATATTTGTGAGTATTTAAACCATCTTTGCTGTACTGCTGCTGTGCAGTAGGTCAGGATGTGGTTAATCAGCACACACGGTTTTCTCTGCGTAACTTTTTATATCCTTTTTCAGGAAGGCATGTTGTCTCATGACTTGCAAGCTTGCAATATATTATATATTTAATAGTGTCTTTGTTTATTTCAAAGTTTTGTAGTAAACCACAAAACTTTTTTATTTATATGACAGAAGAAATATATTTTTTCCTAATCATAATCCCAACAAGAGGAAGTTAGGAGAGTTTTTTTATTTAATCCTGAGCAGTCATTTTCTATGCTATTTGTGTAAAACATATGGGAACATACAGTGTACTGTATATATCCCCTCCCCAAATGCCTTGTTTGGTGATATCGTCCAACAAAGATAAAGCCCAGTTCCTGCTTCTGGCTTAGTTTTCTGTTTGGACCCCTATGCAATTGTTTAACGCCACCCACGCACTCCCACTTAAAACTACACCTTGCAGAAACGACTGAGACAGACGTCAGCCGAGCTTAAATCAGGACTGACTGCACAATATCACAATTAGTGATGACTCTGGTTTGCATATGGAAGATAATGCTCATTAGCTTGTTGATTCATCTTGACTTAATGGCTGTGATACTTCAAAATGCTCCTAATAAGCCGATTGTCTCAAAGCAAGGTAGGGTTTAACATTTTTTAATTTTCTGGAGAGGTTGAAATTTTATCACCCCCAGCTGTACTTTTCTCCTCTGTGGGAAATGTTTGTTTGTGAGATGCTGATAAAATGCTGGCAAATATTACTTCTCTAGTGTTACTTTATTAATCTTGTTTTTGTGGTTGTTGTTTATTTTCTGTCAGACTGCATGCATAGATTTTTAAATTCAACCCTTAGCAGTCATACTTGTGAAACCTAGATAACATCATGCAGATGATAGATACTTGCAGAAGCATACATAGAACTATCAAAACAAGATAACTCGTTGCAGTAAAACAACAAAGAAATGTATTTATGCAACCTTGGTCCAAAGGTATCCTTCTTCAATGGTATCTATAACTAAAATGTCATTCTCAAAACAACATTTTTTGGAGGTCCACAGTTGTTGAAATACTGGGTAGGGATGCCTTAACAGTCTTAATATTACTTCATTTCTCAGCAGCACCAGCTTACCATGAAAATCTCAAGTAAATGTTAACAGTTTATTTGATACCAATTTATAGATTAAGTAAAAATAGAATATGATACAAATTCTTTAACAAGATGTCCTCCTCCATTTTAATGGTGTGACTAACAGTTCTTTCCAAATAAATTATAGCCTTTTTGCATACAGAAACCAGGATATTAAATATGGAGAAAACACCTAATAGCCAACTCTAGCCAACACATGGTGGAGAATCTGTGATGCTGTGGGCCCTTTGTTTGCTGAAAGCAATGGAAACCTAGTAATTGCATGATGTCAATAGAGCTAAAAGTATCAGTCTATTTTAGGTCTAGAATGTGGCATTTCAGAAACTGAAATAGGATAAAGAATTAGGCTTTTAACAAACAGGATGATGAACTAAAGGTTTGGGTAATTTTTCACATACATCTTCTTCAATGACCACCTACCTTTGAGCATCTGACTCTCCAAACCTAAGGCCATATGAAACAATTCGGGGTGGGTTTTAGTGAAGTGAGCATAAAAAAGGACTTATTGTGTGAAGAGGAATGGTGAAAGGTCCAGACGTTGCTCCATTGGATGCTTCTCAGCTGTGAAATGACACAGGAAAAAATATTGTCCAAAAGCAAAAGGGAGCATTAAAAAGTATATAGAGTAAGAGCAAAGCATCCCAATCAGAGAGTCAACAGCGAATTACAGTAGGAAATAAGTATTCTTATAGGGGTTTTCTTTACAGACTGGTTTAAATTACTTGATTCTTGTTTAAGTTTAGAGGCAATTCTTAGCATCGTAAAACATTTTATGCGTAATACAAAAACAAAACAGCATTCCCTCTCTTTTGATTACAGTCTTGTCTTGTATCAGGAACATTTGTCAAAATGTCATTTTTGTTTTTGTTATTTAATTTCTGGATCAGATGTTTTGCTTGTGAAGGATATAGCTAATCCAAAGTGTTTCACTCGGACAAGAAAGGATTTCACCTGCTTCTTTGAGACCGCAGACAACAGAACATACGACCTTCTCTATACATCTCAAAGGTATATAAGATAACCATTTTCCTCAGCAGCTAGTGTTCTCAACCCAATTGTTATTTAATGTCTGCAGAGGCATACCCATTTATCAAATCTACTGTAGTGTGTACTTGCCCTGTCCAATACCTTTAGCTCTTGAAAACCAGAATTGCCAATCGCTGATGTAAAAAGTCAAAATTAGGAATATGATTTTCTCTTTTAGGGACTAAAATTGGTCATTCCCTGATAAAACAGCACATGGCATACTATTATAACTGTTTGAAAAAAGCCAAAAGAAAACATAAGCAGCCCCTCATTCTGCTAAAAATAATTATTATAGGACAATCCTGAAACATCTGCTTATCTTTCCAAGGAACAAAAAAAAAAAAAATTGCAATATTTTGGCTCATTTTTAGACGGTTGTTAGCATGTTCTTTGTTAAAGGTAATGGCAGTTTGGTATGTTAAACAAACTGTAGACTTGAGTAGCAAGAAAATTATTTTTCTTTAAAAGGATAGTGGCTGAATAATTAAAGCTTTTAGAGTTGTTTTTGAAAAGATCCTTAAGTCTTGGAAACTGACCACAATTTCCCCATTGTGGGACAATAAATGTTTTTTTTTTATTGGTGTAGAGTGAGAGTCAAGGTTTTTAGCAAATAAGTACTGAATGTATTTTAAGTTAACAAAGAACAGGTAGACTTCATGAGATTATCAAACATGGATATGGAGCCTTTTGATATTGGACTAAATGTGGTTTCTCCACTGCTGTTTGTTGTGTGAAGCCTTTGGCCTCCATGTACTGTACTTGATAATAGCACCCTACAAATGAAAGCCTTTTACCATTATGCTGTTGTTTTTTTTTTGTTGTTGTTTAAATCCCTTCAAGAAGTTGCTCTTTAAAATGATTTGCAACTGATTAGATGACGTCTTAATGATTGTGAAATGTATGTCAAAATCTATTAATTTAATCTGTCTATAATTATGTGACATTTGGTGTAAATCTTTCATTAATTGTAAATATATCTTGTGCTCACTTCAAAGTGACCTGAGCAAGAGCAAGAAGTGTGAAATGTCTATCCATGGAACAGAAAATGGAACTTTGCTGCATGTTTGTCCTTTTCCCGCGGAGGAGGTTTTTTTATACACAGAGACATACATCCAAGTGGTGGATCGCACCAAAAACATCACTTTGTACAACCGCACAGTCTCTGTGGAGGACTACTGTAAGAAACTTGCTTAAACAATACAACATTATATGTATAAAATGATCAGAAAGGGGTGTTAAGATAAAACATCATTTGGCTTTTCTTTAGTTTTCACAGATTTTGTGGTCACTTTCTCCTTTTTTTAGTTCCACACACATATATATCTATATAGATATATCTATATAGATATATATATATAAACAGAGAGAGAGAGAGATGGAGATACAGAATATAGAAAATATTATTTTGGAAATATTTGGTTAGTTTTCAGGCTGTAGATCACATTCAATCTTTGTATTTGCCTTTCCATTGTTCATTTGTCATCAACTGTATGTCCTAGGATTGGCAGTGAGAAAAATAATTTGCAGTGAGAAAAATAATTTGCATCACAGTTATCTTTTTATCTGCAGGTCTTCTGGAGCCCCCCTTGAATGTCTCCCTACAGCCAAATGACAAAGTGGGAGAACTCAAAGTTTCTCTGGACACAAAATATATAAAGCGCATACCAAACAAGAGATATAGAATTATTTACTCTTCCATGAAACTTGGGGAACAAACGAAAGAGGTGAAGTGTGTCCCTATTTAATTCATTTTTTGCTTGCTTCTATATTTATTTAATTTGTTTTGTTTAGACTTTCCCAATACGGTGCTGTTTAAAGATTTTTGCCTCCTTACAGAATAATCCAAATTTTACTAATAAATAATAAAACTAAACATTTTATGGAACATAAAAGCAATCCAAGCCATCCTCTTAAAATACAACCGCTCCACTTTTGAGATCAACCCTTGTAGAAATAGCCAACCTATCTATTACAATTTCTTTAGATCCGAAAAAAAAAAAAAAGTTTAAGACATCACTCTTTGGGGCGGCAGGATACTGTACATCTAAGTGCTCAGGGTCTGATGTAGAGCTGCGGTCTGTGGGGATCAAACGAGGAACTTGCCAGCCTTCTCAGAATGCAAGCATTCTGCTCTAACCACTGGGCACCACTATATCTGTGATTAATCTAATTTCAAGGGAATCACATCTGATCCTAATTACCGGGAAACTAAATTAGGAAATCATTTCAAGAAAACTTCCTCTACAGAGATGAGAGAAACGTTTGTTGCCAGTTTTTGCCATCAAGGTTATCTTCGCCTGATAATAAACTCCGTTTGATGGTATAAATATTTCCATTGGAAAAACACAAATAACAGGGTCATATTTTGAAGGAGGAAAATATTTTTTCACTTACATCGTCCAAAAGAAACATAAAAACAGAAACAATATTCTGGCGAGGATACTTAGTCATCCAGGTCATAGTTATACCAAAAAAGTCACACTTTTTTGAGTAGTTTAAGGTAAACCTTTAACATATTTGACTTTTTTTCAGGGGAATGAGGACAAATTTCTGCTCTCCTCTCTGGTACCAGGTGAGGTGATTGAGGTCCAAGCTTCGGTGAAAAGTGGTAAACCTGGAATTTGGAGTGCGTGGTCTAAACCTGTACAAGCAAAAGTTCCCCAAACAGCAGGTATGTCTGATTAAACACAGACTGTCTGAATGCCTGCACATGAACACATATGTACATTGTAACTAAAAAAAAAAAAAAAAAAAAAATTATACTGAATAATAAAACCTACTCTCTTTTAGATGATATCTCACTTGTATGCTACACCTCTGACCTGCAACATGTTACTTGTCATTGGGATGGCACCAAATATGGTTCAGAGTACAAACTGTTTCACAGTCTGAGGTACCAATATACAGCACTTATTCTTGCTTTTTACCACATTGTTTATGTACAAATGTCATATCTCAAATTTTCTTTTTTGCCAATTCCCCCCCGATTAAATTCAATGTAGTTTTTTATTTTGTGCCAATTCACAGCCGCTATATTGTTTTAAGGCACTTGATACAATTTAAAAAAATTATTCAAAAATGATTTCTCTTTTCTCATTATATTTAATGTAACAATGGATTGGAGAAAAAAAAGTTTCTGTAATTTAAAGAAGATCCAAATAAATAAATCCAAAACTTTCCAGCTTTGATATATGCTTAAGTTGTTCTCAAGCATTTTTACAAATACAACCTCTAAATCAAGGCTATCATTACCTTGCAGGTATTATAAAGCACATGTGCTTTTAGTCTTTTGTATAATTAAAAAGGAAAAACAAATAAAGAACATGCACAAAATGGACCGGAGGTATATTTGTGCCTAAAACCTCCTAAACCTTCATCCCTTATGTGTGCTTTTTAGATGAGTTCCAAGATCAAACATTGCTTCTAAGACTAAAGTGCTGCCAAGGACCCCCCCCCCCCAGTGGTGGTTTAACCAGTCTGGTGCAAAAGTTTAAGAACTGTTTTTACTAAACACCAAATATTTAAGCTGAAACCATGTATTTTGACATTACTTTCTATCAT